ATGACCACTCTATCCTTAAAATGCTGCTTAATGGATCTATCTTTGTCAAATCTGCAAATTTTGTCAACAATCTATACGGAACAGAGCTCTTTTCTTAGCATGGTCTTTTTCAACTGCTCTTTATATTTTAGCTATGGGTATGGGCTGAGTGGATCTGGTTATCAATATGTGGAGAACAAGAAGCAGGGAAGGAATGTGAATAACTCAGGTGACAAGACAAGGGCTAAACTGGCACTGGCCCAGAGATAATGTATCAGCCACCCAGTAACTTTTGGAATAAGGCAGGATAATGCATAAACGGCTATGTCTGTTAAAATGAAATTTAAATAGGACAAGTTTAGTGTTCTCTCCTTGGAACCAAAGCTAAGGATGTGGAGAACTTGCTAAGTAGCAGCATGTTGAAAAAGAGACTTGAGGATATTAGTGGCCCGAATTAAGTAACAGCCAAAAGTATGATGAGGCTGCAACAGAGGGGAAAAACCAAAACCAAAGGATTTCTAGGCTGTTTAAATAGAAATATAGTATTCTGACTGTCTTATGCCTTAATAATGAATCTTCCCATGCTTTGATTTATTATGTTCAATTCTGGGAAACATATTTCATGAGGACAGAGATCAACTTCAACACCTTCATAAGAGTCATATCATATAGTGTTATAAATCATGACAATGAACAACAGCCAAAACGAGTGAGGATAGTTTGCTCAGCAAATACAATATTTAGTGGCAAAAGACTTGTGCTTTTTTGGCATCTAAAGATAGGATAGAAGATAGGATTCTGTTTAGTTCCAAGAAGAAAACAAGTTCCAATGCATAAAAATTACAGGGTGGTAGATTTCAGATAAAATATAAACAAGTACTATATAATAATTAGGAGACTGAGATTAGAATTGGTGAGCTGTCAGTTACTAGAGATGTTCAAGGAAGGGCTGGCCAGTTCAAACTAAAGAGGACTTTGAATTCAGGTATCCTCCAAAGCCTGCTGCAAATATGCTGTTGTTTTGGTGCGTGCATGCGTGCGTGCGTGCGTGTGTGTGTGTGTGTGTGTGTGTATGTGTGTGTTTTCTCTAAACAGAAATGTAGTGTTTCGTGAGTTATGAGTCAGAAGTCCAGAGGTACAATAGGTACAATGGACTAAAAGGTCAATGTTGACTTCTTTTTCCCTTCTTCCATCTCCTCCTTTTCATCCTCCCCACCCCCCTTCTTGAGTCTTCTGTGTTTTTCATGGTCTTCTTATTTTATATCTCATTTATATTCATGATGCAACCTTGAATTGAAGTGATTTTCTTCCTCTTAAAATGAAAAACTTTCTTTCAATGGCATTGTTTTTCACTGTGGGTAGCTCCTAATTTAAGAGAATCATGTCAGGCATGGTGGTGCACACCTATAATCCCAGCACTCTGGAGGCTAAGGCAGGAGGATCACAAGTTTGAGCCCAGCCTGGGCAACTTAGTGACTTAGTGAGACCCTGTCTCAACATTTAAAAAAAATTTAAAAGGCTGGGGATGTAGCTCAGTGGTAGAGCACCCCTGGATCAATCCCTGGTGCTGGAGGAATAGAAAGCAGAGGATCATACCTTTTCACAACTGCTAAAGAAGCTATAACTCCATACTACAGTTCCATTATTCCAAATCCACAGTAAGTAAAATGGTTTCCTCATTCTTTTACTGACAGGACTTCTGCTTTACTGGGGATGGAACTCAGGGCCTCATGCATGCTAGGCAAGCACCCTACCATTGAGCTACATCTGCATTTCAGGACTTTGTTTTGGAAGGTATTTCGTGTTTGCCACAAAAGCTTGAACAAGTTTTGGGGGAGCCATACAGCAAACAGTGTCCCCTCCAGGTCAGGCCAACCCAGACTTTAAATCCTGGCTTTTCCACACACTTTGTCAGCTTGCTCAATTTCTCAGGTCCTCAGTTTCCTCGTCTGTTAAACAAGGTTAATAGCATACATATTTCAGAAAGTTGTTTTTTTTTTTCAGAAAGTTATTTTGAAGGTGAAAGAAAGCAAAGTATGCCAAGGACTTGTAATAATGCTTAGTATTATAATAGTCATACAATGGAATATAAATATTATTTTTCCTTTACACAGTAACTTTGCAACAGTTCTCAGCTCTCCTTGAAGTGATAGATCAAATTTAATTTCTTAGCACTGTAATCTTTAAATTTAAAAATGTTTGGTGCCAATTGTCTATTTATTTCTCTAACCTAACCATTTATCTACAGCTAAAATGTCTTAACTTCATAATTATTCAAAGGTTTGTTTTAAAAAATTGACATAACGTTAGCTAGTCTAAGACATGTGTTTAGCAGTAGTCATTTTTTTCCACCTGTCCTCCGTCTATGTTGGAAGCTACAGTATTTTTCCAAAAATACTTCATCCAGAGAAAAGCAACTGCAGAATTTCTGCCTCTGTAGCCTGCCCTAACCAAGATGAGGGCACTGACTGTTTCCTTCCTACACTTTGCAAAAATTGGCCACCTCTGTTTGATTTGAAGTCATGAGTCTGGATCACAGTGAGTGGTACACTCTACTTAATGAATCATTAGCAGAACAGAGAAAAGAACAGACTCAATTACATGCTGGGTTGGTTAACCAGCCTTTCCCTGAACATTGCCCTGCTCCAACCTATGCTGGAACAGGGAGGCTTTTATATAGCAACTACTCCCTCGCTAGTAGCTCTGTCTCTTGAACCTAAGACCCATATTCTATATTCTTGATTGATTTTAATCAGACTTGGCAGCCTTCTTAAGTACTGCAGCCATCTGCAAGTGGGATTAATGAGGGCTTTGTATAAATAACATAGTTACCGGGCTCTCTGCCTCGTTTTCCCCCCTTATCCTTGATTACATGCTCCATGTAATCACTACACTGCAGGCGTCAAACTCCTAGTGATGACCCTTCAGGGTCAGGCTCTTGGGGTTTGCTCAGAAGGTGTTAAGTCCAAGAGGTGAGGGGAAATGGAGGACAGAGAAACATATCAACAAATAATCAGGTGGTGATACATGCTGCTCTTCTGTCCCGGGCACCCAGGGCACCAGCCTTAGACTACTGGAGCTCTCTGTACGAGCTGTGTTCGCTCACACGATAGTGAATTTGATGACCCATAGAAATGTGTGGCCTTCCGAAAATCTGAACCCTTTTCAGCTCTTCAGAGAAGCCTCTTTGATATCCCCACACCATGTCCCCTCATGACAAACCTTTGTCTATCCACTCCTACTAGTCCAGAATACCTTTACAAGCAAGGCCCATGTCATTTCATTTCCTGCATTTCAGAGACCTAACACAGTGCTTAGAATATAAAGATTACTATAAAGATTGCTCAATAACTCTTCGTTGATTGCCTGAATGGGTAAGGGGAGAGTTGAAGCCCAAGTCTGATTGATTATAAAAATAATTACTGGGGCCGGGGATTTAGCTCAGTGGTTCCACCACCTGCCTTGCAAGTGCAAAGATCCGAGTTTGATCCCCCGTACCAAAAAAAAAAAAATTACTAAGTACCGTCACATACTAGGGGAGCCAGACATTTGAAAAATAAACACATAACTATGTCAGGCAGTAAGAAATGCCATGAGGTTAGAGGAAGGTAGTAACAATGGGAGACACACAATAAGCAGATAAACAAAAAGACCAGGAGGTAGTAGATACCTAGAGAGAAAAGGATGCTATTTTGAATACAATGGGCAGGGAAGGCCTTCCTGGGAAAGTGGTACTTGCGCACAGTTGTGAAGAAAGTGGAGGCCATAAGCTTTCCGGGAAGAGGGAACAGAGGCTTTTCAGGCCCAGAGCTTGGTGGGGGGAGTTTCTGCATGGCATTTTTGATATAAGGAATTGGAAGAGAGCTAATGTGGCCAGGGTAGAGTAAGCAGAGAGAAAAGCAGTAGGAGGCAAGATCAGAAAAAAAAAGAAGACACAATTGAAAGATGCAGCATCTGTTGTCTGTAAGTATGGGTTTGGGTCCAAGTGAATATGATAAACAGAGAAAACTTACCAAGGAGACCTTAAATATCTAAGAAATGCCAGAGGAAAGGGAAAGGGAGTCCTCATTCTGAAAAAAGTGACGATACCAAAGTAACAATGTCGTGTACTTGATGTTATTCCCAGGTAATGGATTACAGTAGTGGGAGTTGAAATAGCGGGGTCACAAAGAACAGCACATCATGTCATTAAGTTTCCTTTAATCTGTACCTTCATTAATGATGTTAGGCTAGTTGATCAAAGTAATGTGGCACAAACAGTGTACAGAGATTTCTGCAAACCATTTGGCAAGATCTTGTGAACAGGATGGACAAACATGCTTTATATAAGGATGATTTTGTGTTTTTTTCCTCTTTTTTTCATGGTTGGTAAAATGCATATAACACAAAATTTGCCATTTTAATTATTTTATTTTTTATTAGTATATGTTTGTGATTCATAATGAATATATTTATTGTAGGATACTGGTACGTATACATGTTGCATCTTGATTCTTTTTTACTTCCCCGTCCTCTTTCCTCCATCCCCAGAGCCATTTTAATCATTTTAAAGTGTATAATTCAAGGACTAGGGATGTAACTTAGTAATAGAGTGCTTGCCTTGCATGTATGAGGCCCTGGGTTCAATCTCCAGCACTACAGCAATAATAGTAAAGAATAAATAAATATGATGTACAATTTGGTGATATTAAGTACCTTCACAGCAGCCTTCACTGCTCTGGTTCCAGAATCTTTTCATCATCTATTAACAGTGATTCCCCATTATCCCCTTCCCTCTGGTCCCTGACAACTACTAATCTATTTTCTGTCTCCATGGCCTTGCCTATTCTGGACATTTCATATAAATTGAATCATGCAATATGTGACCTTTGTTTGTCTGGCTTCTTTCACTTAGTATAATGTTTTTAAAATTCACCCATGTTGTAGCATGGATCAGTAGTACTTCATTCTTTTTCATGGCTGGAAAATATATTCCATTGTATGGCTAGACCATATTTTGTTTATACATTCATTTTTTTTTTCATGTCTCAGGCAAGCTTTATTCTTTGACTCCCCTATCCCGGAATGGAATTGTTGCATCTCACCCAAAAGTGACAGGTATTTGGGGAGTAGAGCTGTTGGGAGGGAGTTGTCAATCTTCACAAATCAATGTAGCTGGTATGTAGTGACTCCATTAAGCCTCAAGCACTTGGCCTAGCAGACTGGGGAATGATCAGAATAGACTTGCCAGAGGTCCCCAGAGCGTTACAATCCCAAGGTTCAGGAGGTATAGCTAATAAGGGAAAAGGCTATTTCCTATTTCTGTCCACTTTAGAAGCAGCAGATGGTGTTTTATTTTGCTTTGATTGGTTTCTTAAAAATTACCTAGGAAATGGAAAGCTTGTAAATGTTCACCGGTGAGCTGCTGAATTGCTACCCCAAGTGGTTTCCTTTACTACCTATCGCTTAACCTGAAATATTAGATCAAAAGGTTCAAATCTCCAGAATTCAACCAGGCTGACAATCTGCCTATCCCTCAAGCAATTACCAGTTTTAAAAAACAAAATTAAGTAAACAAGAGCTTTCCCCAAATAGGCTCATTACCAGTTAGCTTTATATGACCTAGTCCTAAGAAAGCCACATTTCATTAGAAAACATGACTGCTTAGGGCAGTTAAAGTTCTTCCCTTGCCTTGAGGGGCTGTTTCCATTCTTTAACCTCTGAAATGATTATCTTGTGTTTGTGCTAAAAACTCTGAAGGACATCGGGCTCATTCTTATAAAACTCAAAGAAAATGGCAACCTGGTGTCTAATTCGGGGGTTAGCAGGTGATGACGGATGGCTGGAGGTCTTCCTCTTCCTTGGTGTCATTCCACAAGATGGGTTCTGTGGTGTCGCATGAGGTGTGAGTTAGAAATGAAAGCCGCACCACATTTCTCACACTCATAGGGCTTCTCCCCAGTGTGGGTCCTCTGGTGCACAGTGAGGCTCGATCTTTGCCTGAAGGCCTTGCCACACTCATGACATGCATAAGGTTTTTCACCGTTGTGGATTCTCTGGTGAATAAGTAGGTATGAGCTACATGTGAAGGCCTTCCCACACTCATTACACACGTATGGAAGGTCCCCACTATGGATTCTCTGGTGGACAATAAGGCAAGAGAGCTGACTGAAGGCTTTCCCACACTCACTGCAGTCATACGGTTTCTCTGCAGTGTAGATTCTCTGGTGTACGATGAGATGTGAAAAGCAACTGAAGGCTTTTCCACACTCTTTGCACTCATATGGCTTCTCACCAGTATGGCTTCGCTGATGCACGATAAGATTTGCACTCTGAGTGAAGGCTTTGCCACAGTCATTACAGGCAAAGGGCTTCTCCCCAGTGTGGATTCTCTGGTGGACAATAAGGTTTGAGCTCCGAGTAAACGTTTTCCCACATTCATTGCACTCGTAACATTTTTCAGTAATGTGGACCTTCTGGTGCCGGGCTAGTTGCGAGCTGTAACTAAAGGCTTTCTCACATTCACTGCACTTGAAGGTTTTTTCTAAGGAGTGGATCTTCTGGTGTACAGTCAGATTAGAACTCTGTGTGAAAGCTTTCCCACATTTTGCACACAAATACGGTTTCTGTCCAGTGTGGATTCTCTGATGCACCACAAGGTTTGCGCTCTGAATGAAGGCCTTCCCGCACTCATGACACTCAAAGGGCTTCTCCCCCGTGTGGATCCGCTGAT